GGTTGCTGGTTCGATTCCCAGTCAGGGCACACGCCTGGGTTGCAGACCAGGTCCCCAGTAGGGGACACATGAAAGGCAGCCACACATTGATGTTTCTCTCCCTCTCTCTCTCCCTACCCTTCTGTCTAAAACTACATAAATAAAACTTTAAAAAAACCAGAAAGCACAATGCAATCATTTAAAAATAAATACATAAACACAAGCATACATTTTTTTCTTTACTATTTTCCAGAACACAAGGTTAAGAATTTTCCCAAGGAATATTAAAAACTGCAATACTTTCCTGACTGAAGTCCGAAGCATCACTTACGAAAAAAGCACAGAATAAACTGTTCCTTCTAAATCATGACACTCATGTTATACTTTAAGCCAAAAAACCCTAATTTGTTGTACCTCTTTCTTTTTCTTTTTTTCACTTCGAACTCTAGTTCAGTGGTCTGCACATTAGGATATGCGTACCCCTGGGGGTTCCCTGTAACAAGTGTTCCTTTAACCATGCCTCGCAGGAAATCCATTTCAATTTCAAAAAACCTGTCCTCTCACATTTCTCCTTCTTTTCTCCCTGGCGATGTGTGCTCCCTCTTAACAGAAAGCACACCTGTCACCCCTCAGAAACCTTACGACACACGTCACACATTACCCAAACCTCAGGAAACTAATATAAAAGACAGTTGGAAAATTGGTGTAAGTGTGGGATGGGAAAATGACTCTAATAACTAGATAGTAATCCTTTCATAAGCCTACATATTTTCAATAGTTTGCTTCAGTAAAACTGGAGGATGACTTATTCAGGCTATCAGCTGATATTAGAAATAACTTTTGTTGTTAATTGAAAAACTGATGACTCTACTATTATAAAATGTCTTCAACTCTCCCATCTATTTTTATTATTCTTCAGATCAATAAATTTCATCTATTTAGAGTAGAAATGTACCATGTTATTCTAGAGGTAAGCAACACTCACCCTGGAATGTCTTGGTTTGTTATTTAAGAAGTGCAATATTATATTCTTGAATGAAATGTGTCTTGTACAAGGCCAGGAGTGACCAAAACTCAAAGAGACTGAGCCAAGAGAGAATACTCAAAAATTAATTAATGAATTAAAGCTCCCACACCACTGTTGTGGAAGGTGGTGGCCCACGATGGATCACACCTTTCAAAGAACGTGATGCTCCCACTTAGGGAACTTAGGAGGCCGGAATCTAGACACCTGGTTAGAAGGGAGTGGGCATATGCCCTTTCGAGTGTGCAGGTAAGTGGCCCCTAGCAGTGAGAGAGAGGGCGCTGTGCTGCCTGCTACCTGCACAGGCGATAGAAGCCCCAAGAGTTGGCTTCACTCAGACCAAGTGCAGGCCCCTGGCTCCAGGGCCTGCACTTGGAGTTGTTGAATGCAAATGCAGCCTAAGCATAGAACTTCCTCCAAAGCTGGTAGGAACTTTCTGGTAAGAGTTTCAAGACCTCCACGAGACTTTCAAAACCCCTGGGGCCACCATACCAGGTGGTGAAGGAAGAACTGAAGCCAAAGGAAAAGTGTGCCTAGAGAGCCGCAGATTAACTCTGAAAGGCCCGGGAGGGGCAGACGAGCCGGGCAGCGCACAGGTGGTGGGCTCAGTCACCTCCATGGACTGCTCCTGCGAACCCACGTCCGTGTCCTGCCTTGCACACAGAGACCAGCAACGTATTTGTCCTTTATGGTCTTTTTATGACACTGTGCAGCCATAAACACGGCCTGCAGGTTGCACCAGGGCCAGGCAAGTTCGGGCAGGCAGCCTGATTTAATACCAAGTGCGATCTGAGTTCCAGCATCTGTGCGCCATTATCTCCCTGCAGATCTAAAATATCCTCAATCTTTGCAGCATAGAGAAGGCCTTAAAGGCACGTGCAGACACTGATGTTGATAGACATACATTTCTGAGGTCGGTAGTCCTGGAATGATGGGGTCGAAGGTGGAATAACAGGGGTCAGTGAGAATTGTTTTGGGACCTGCCGAACTACAGTGCCTGCGCTCGCTGTCGGTCTTGGCTGCACCTCGAACACTCTGGATTCCTCACGAGCAAAGAGCACTGGGCACCTTCCGGGGGCCCATCCTCAGGGAAGGGGGTAAACAGGACAGCCAGAGGCAGCCACCATGTGTTTACTATTGCATGTGGCAATGACTTGATTTTCCTTCGGAAAGAAGCCAGGCCATCTCATCAGAGAAAACATCAGTGATTTTTGAAGAACTTGACACTTGTCACTATAGACAGCCACACAGTCCGCAGGTGACGGTTTATCCCTTTGTGCTCCTCACTTGCCAACTGAAACAAAGCTTCCGCGTGTTTTCTGTTAGGGGCGCTCACAGCGCAGCCCAGGGAGCACGGGGCGTGAGATTCTGGCCGGCTGGCTCCTGTCTGCCCTGGACAAGCTCGAACGCTTTCAGCAAGCCCTCTCTCGCTGTTAGCAGCATTTTGACTTTTACTTCATTCCCTCTGGACCTGAAAGCCTGTGATTTTTATGGCTCTGAAATCCTAGTTAAAGTAGCATTCTCCGTATTTCTGACTTGGCAGGCCCCACACCAGGAGGCAAACCACCCTTGTCGCACACACTGGAGGGTTGCTGCAGCATCCAGTGCATTCGACAAACCAAGACACCAATTCTCGAGTTCTTTCTCGTAGAAGTAGAATTTAGAAAGGATTTAGAATTCTCTCTAAAAACACATAGAAGCTTTCAGCAATGATACATTATCTTTTGAACGGTCAGGTGGAAGGTCTGCCCGACAAGTCCCTTGGTCTCACGTGAGACCAAGGGAAGCCTCTCGCTGAATCGTCAGTTATTGCTCACGGCCTGGTCAGAGCACCCAAGGACCTGGCTCCACGCTGCACTGAATACAGGCCTAGGAGAGGCGGTCAGTGTGGACCTCGGGCTCTCGGGCAACGGGCTCTTCTGACCGAGCACTTATAACGAGCCCTTTGTGTGTCCGTCCCATTTTCCTGTTGGTGAGACCCACCGCTTTCCGTGACAGCAGGGCCAGCTCCTTCTCCCCCGTGGCCAGCATGGCGGTGACGGCCACAGCCACGATTTTCCCAAAACCCCACTACATAAGTCTGAGAGGCCATCCTGGTGAGAGGTGGGGAGGGGAAGATGGGGTTTCAGAGGCAATGAGGCGGGGACGGAAGTAGGTCACACAAACCTGGGCTAATTCCTCCACTAAAAAAAAAAATGATTTGTCCCTTCCTTCACCTCCTTCTTCCGGCTGCCAGAGCAAAAGGCGACAGGGACCCGCTCCACACTGAGCCATTTGAACTGCCCATGACAAGGAGAGACACAGGGGGATTGTTCTGTGGTAGAGACTGTTTATCTTCAAAAAGTTGTATTTACATAATTTTTTCTTGTATTTGCCCACGGACAGGTCACTACAAAGGCTTCACCAGAATTTTGCAGGCATTGCTCTACTCAGAGTCAGTGCCCCAGCCCTGCAAAGGTCCAGGCAAGGTTATCTATCTCCAGGGACAGAGTCTGAAGGAACCTAATGAGGGACGTTGGGGCAGGAAGCGGAGGGGAGGGGTATGCAATTTTGTTTCTGAATTCCCTATTGATCAGAACAATAATAACCATGTTCCTTTTCTCCCAGGCCCTAAAGGTAACCCTGCGTAGATTTACTTGGAAAAGCTAATCAAGAAAAACATGTTTTTCCTGCCCTCTTCTATTACTTAATTGGTGTTTCTTACTTTAAGGCAGCAAATTTACTCTGAGCAGATGTTTTCTCTGCAGAGAGTGATAGTGTGATGGAAGACCTTGTGAAATTCCAGGCACAGCTGACTGATTCTGGCATGGGCGGCCATGTGGTTGCTGGCCAGTGGGGTCTCTCCTGGCCTCTTGCTTCCTCCTCTCACTGCCTCCTCTGGGTTAGGAAGATGCAGCTGGTTGATATATAAATGCTGGCTTTGCAACACGAGGCAACTTAGCCATGAGCCAGGCTGGGGCAGCTCCGAAATCCACCTTTCCTCGGAATTAAACATGTCTGTACTCCACATTTAATTATTCATTAACTAATATTCATTGAGCCACCATCGTGATTAAAAAGCATAAGTTCCAGAGACTGACTGCCAGGGCGTAATGCCACCTCTGCCCCTTAGAAACCTCGTGACCACATAGGAGCCCCGTGACCTTGGCTGACTATGAACTCCTATATGCCTCAGTTTCCTCTTCTATAAAAGAAGGATAGTAATATTCTTGTCTGGGATTTTCTGAGGATCAAACAAGGTTTGTAAAGTGCTCAGCCCATTGTAGGAACTGGCAGCCAATTTATTAGACAAACTTGGTTTGACTGACTGTGAGCAGGAGACAAGTTAATTTTCTCCTCTACTTCCTAGTCCCATCGGCCAGGTCCTATAAGGTTCCCTGTCATGCTCAGATAATAAAAAGTTCTTTGATCGGTTTTCAAGCCCAGAAGTGTTTCCTGTCAGAAATCCAGGGGTTTAGTAATCAAACCTTGGTACACTAAGCAAACCTTGGAGCTCTGTTTAAGTTAGGACTTTGCTCTAGCTGGCTTGCCCAGGCCAGGAAGCCCAAGTACAAGTGAGAGTAGCCAGCTCCTTCCTTGAACCCTCCTAGTTTTATTTCCTACCCACTCAGTAGCTGTGATGTTGGATTTCTTCAAGGTCAGGGTAAAAGAAATTTAAGAAAAAGACCCCAGAGGCATAGCCGGTAGTGCTAGGGGCTGACACTGAGGTTCTGTGCTAAGTAGGCGGCCCCGCCCACTGCCCCTCTCATTTGCATTTGTCAGACCTGGGACACTTACAGCACTTTAAATCCCTGCCCCTGCTCCGGGGCCATTGTCAGCCTCTCTCAGGGTTTCTCACCTGGCTGTGGCTGGAGGTAAGCAGAATGCACAAGACCCTCTTCTCCAACCACAAAATCACGCAGGACTCAGCCGGAGAGCCGTGGGCCGGGCCTCCCCTCAGTTTCGATGGCTTCTTGATCATTCTGCTGTTCCCCACCCCCTCTGTGTTTTCATCTAGTGCCCTGGCTGGTGCTCAGCGAGATTTTTCCTGGTGGAATCAGGGGACAAGCCATGGCTTTAACTTCAAGTATGAACTGGGGCATCAACCTCCTCATCTCTTTGACGTTTTTGACAGTGACTGGTAAGGATGTGTCCTTTTCCTTGAATGTCTTTGTGTTCTCAGTTAGGACTAATGTAAAGCACACTCACCTGGAAAATATTTCACTGTGGACATTTTCAAGCATGTTCCGAAGCAGAGGGAGTGGCAAAGAACCTGATGTACCTCCTCCCAACTTACAGAGCTGCCAACCTTAATTCATTTATAACCTCACCTGCTCTTCCTCTCACATTATTTTAAGACACATCTCAGACACAGTGCCATTTGTCCTAAAATTCCATCATGAATCTCTAAAAGATCTGTCCTAAAATTTCATCGTGAATCTCTAAAAGATCTGTCCTAAAATTTCATCATGAATCTCTAAAAGATAAGACTTTTGAAATAACCACAATATCATTATCAAATTAAAAATATTAATAAAAATCCCTTGGCATCAATATATAGTCTATGCTTACATTCTTCAGTCTTACAATTATTTTTTATATTTTGTTTGTTTGAATCACAATCCAAATATACAACTTACAACTGATGGATATGTCTGTTGATACTTGTAGGTTCCATCCTCACTTCTCATCCCCTCCCTCTCCCTACTTTACATCTTTAATGCAGAAACTGGGTCATTTGTTTCGTAGTTTCCCCAGGTGGGATTTTGCTGATTGTCATCATATGGCACGACCTCCGTCCTTGGTGTTCCCTGCAAACTGCTGTCTAGATCTAGGGTTTTCAGATTTAGACCTTCTCGGTTGTTTGCTTGCAAACTCCTTCACAGGGGCCGGCCCGTGTCCTGCCATCAGAGGCTCATCCTGTCCGCTGGCCTCCTGCTTGGCCACGGTGCTTCCTTCAAGGAGGAGCACTGCCCAGCTCCGGTATTTATGTCCTGTCCTTCCTTCCGAATTCTTATCTGAACTGCTTCTCGAAGGAGGAATTTCTCCTATAACTGTCAGAAGGAATTTCTGATAACTAATAGTTTTTGCCTACCTGACATATGGGGTCATATAAGAAAGGAAAGCTCTCCCTTCATTTTTCAGTTTTTGAAATAATGAGGTGGCTCCGCGGCCCCCTCCAAACTCGGCCAAGGAGTTGAGGCTTCTTTCTTTCCTTTTTTTCTTTATACATAGATACACATACATTTAAAGGTCGCAAACAAAGAAACAAAACCTGAACCTCCGCAGGCCTCTAGACCTGGGCAGCAGTTCACAGGGAATGCAAAGGACAGAAAGCCAAGTGACATGATGCCACTCAGTAAAACCCTGCCTGGGGAGAGCATCCAACGACGGACCCCGTTTCTTCATTGAAACGAGGGGGTGCAGGGGAGACCGGGGAGGAGAAACAGAGATAAAAACCTTCAGATTTTAAGACACACGCGAATCAAGGGTAAGTTTTGTATTTGGGTCATGATTCAAAGTATAAAAAAATAATCATAACACCACTGGAAAATGTGGATAATATGCATATACCGTGTATAAATTTTCAAAAGCAGATGCATACTAAAAAGTGTAGGTATCTATATCTATATCTATATATCTATATTATATACTATTTCTGAATCTTGTCAAGCACTTTTGTAAGTACATCCACTTTGGAACTTTAGGAGTTGTTAAATAAGCATGGTTTGAATTTTTTATATAAAACTTTAAAATTTTGTGCACTTCATACTTTTTTAGAAATAGTCCAAAATTCCCACTCAAGCTGTTTTTCCAAATGAATAGCTGGTCATGGATCATACTGCACAATTTCTTAGATCTTCTCAAACAAGCAACAGCTGGCCTCAGTGGGCCCCGGCCCCACACTAGCTGCAACCAGCCTAGATTCACAGTCTGGCTTCGCCTGGGAGCTTCCAAGCCCAGCGCAAGGAGCAGCCATCTGCAGATTACTTTATAGCTCTTGCAGGTGGCAGCAGGCAGAACACAGGTGGGGACTGACCTTGGTCTGTACTACCTGGGAAACCCCAGGGCCAGCGTACCCAGTGTACCCAGTGTACACAGCGTACACAGCCACAGACCACGTTGGAGCACCGTCACCCTGCCCTGCACAGCATGTCCTCCATGGAGGGCAGAAGTTTGTCATCAGTGGCCACAGACAGTCCTTGCAGCTGACCGGCGTGGGTAAATCCCTCCCATTCTCTGCCAACGGCAACCAAGCTTCAACTGCAAGAGGAGGGTGCACTCAGCCCACATGAAGGGTGCACCTTGAGTACCCAGCTTGAGTGATAGGGGAGGCTCTGCCACTGGACCCTACAGGACACCTACTACATTAGGCCATGCTACCAAGACACAGAGTCATAGCAGCTCCACCTAATATATTGGAACAAACACAGGGGGGCTGCCAACATGAGGAGACAAAGAAACATGGTCCAAATGAAAGGACAGATCAAAACTCCAGAAAAACAGCTGACCAAAATGGAATCTATCAGATGCAGAGTTCAAAACACTGGTTATAAGGATGCTCAGGGAACTGAGTGAGGACCTTAACAGCATAAAAAAGATCCAGTCAGAAACAAAGGATACACTAACTGAAATAAGGAACAATTTATGGGGAAACAAAAATAGAGTGGATGAAGCTGAGAATCAAATAAATATTTGGAACATAAGGAAGCAAACAAACAAACAAAAAACAACCATTCAGAAAAATGAGAAGAAAAGAGAATTCAGAAAATGAGGATCGTGTAAGCAGCCTCTGGGATAACCTTAAGCAAGCCAATATCTGTTTCCCGCGGCTGCTAGAAGGAGAGGAGAGAGAGCAAGACATTGGAAATCTATGTTAAAAATAATGAAAGAAAACTTCCTTAATTTGATGAAGGAAATAGATATGCAAGTCCAGGAAGCACAGAGAGTCCCAAACAAGGTGGATGTAAAGAGGCCCACTCCAAAACACATCATAATTAAAATGGCCAAAGATTGAAGATAAAGATATGGGAGGTGGGGTGTGTGGGAGAATGGGTGAGAGGTGAGGGGATTAAGAAATACGAATAGATAGTCACAGAATAGCCATGGGGATGTAAAACACAATATAGGAAATGATGTAGCCAAAGAACTTGTACGAATGACCATGGACATGAACAAGGATGGAGGGATTGCCTGAGGGAGTAGGGGGTGCCGGGTGGAGGGGAGCAAAGGGGGAAAAATCAGGACAACTGTAATAGCATAGTCAATAAAATTCAATTAATAAATAGATAAGTAAAAAGTAAATTTCCCAGTAAAAGATAGAAGGCAGCAAGCCTTTGGACACCAACGTTTTTAGCGCCAGTTCGGCTCTACCAGTAAACACAGTGTTTCAGAGAGACAGACTTACTCTGCAGTACCCCTGACACGGCTGCAGGATTGTGCTCGGCTCTGAGTAAAGTGTTTTAAGAAGACTGTTTAAATATTTTAAGAGGGTTGCCGTGTGTCCACCAACCAAGTACAAACGGGATGACATGGGCATGTGACCTATTGCTACTGAGCTCGAGGGGTTCACTTCTTAGGTGTTCTATTCAAGAACGAGGCCTGTGAGAATTGTTTGTTGCAAGATAGTTTCATTTACTTGCAGCAAGTAAAGGAGACAGGGGCTAGATGCCCAAAGCTCCTGCCTCCCGGAAGGAAGGCTTAGCAGTTGCTTAGATACACTATTTGGTCAGTTATGAGTTGCTACACTTACTAGGTTGGGTTCCTGTCAAGCTTATCCTCCTCACAGCTAGTCTGCAAAATCCCGCGCTACATTTTAACACTTAGCTAGGATAGCACTTAGTAAAAATGACCCACACCTCGAATGAGCTTGATGTTAGGACAAACAAGAAGGAGACACTCGTCTTAACATTATGGCTGGTGAAGAATAATTGCAAGACTTTAAAATGTTTGACTCGGACAGAGGATGCTTGAGGAAGGGGTGGAAGCACACAGAAGTATTGGAGCGCTGTCTGGCAGAAGGGGCGGGCAGAGCTGGTCCAGAAGACAAAGCAGAACCTCTGAACCCGAGTTCCTGAAAGGTAGATTTGCACTTAGGAGTTGGTAAGGAATACCTTTTTAACAGGCAGGACTGGCTCACCACGCAGAGAGAATCTGTGTTACTGAAAGTGTTCAAACAGATTAGGGGACAAGTTTGATGAGGCCACCATTTTTTTTCTCTTTCTATATTCCGGTTTTATGTCCCAGAGGGGAAGAAGGACATGTCTACAAGCACTTTATTAAGAATTCACTTGGGCAAAGCAGCAAGAAACACACGGAGGAATCCCTTTAAATAAAATGCCAGAGAAGAGCAGTCCCTCCTATTTCCCTCCCTACTTCTGCCCTCCTCGGCACTGGCTGACCAGTGAGTGGTTAATGTGCTTAGCCCCCTCCACGCCGCATTTACAGAACTGCCTCATATATGACTACTTGGTCAAGTTTCCCTGGCTGAGTGATCATGATTTGTGGCTGCAGCTGTTAAGGGCTCCAGCCCATGTGCGGTTCATCTGAACCTGTGTTCAAAAAGAGCCAGCTTCCTGCTCGCTACACCCTGCCCCCCTGGACCGTCTGCTGCTGAGCCAGGTCTGGTCCAATGCAAATGCAGGCTCCAGTGCACAGGGAGCATCTCCCACCAACTAACATACCTTGACCTTGGTCAGTAACTACAAAGGGACTGTGCCTTGGGCTGGAGGTGGTCAGAGGGAAAACTAGGCTGGCAAGCGAGACCCATCAGGCTTCTTGCTGCTGCAGCTAAGCAAGTGAATGCCTTTTCTTAGAACCATTCACTTTTTTCTCTGAATCTAGGAAGAAGCATTGCAAATACACTAGCTACTAGATGATAAAATATTGCCAACATGAAATAATTTATTCAGTTCAAAATAAAGAAGGCCCTGGCTGGTGTGGCTCAGTTGGTTGGAGTGCCGTGCCACACACCAAAAGGTTGGAGATTTGATTCCTGTGCAGGGCACATACCCAGGTTGCAGGTTCGATCCCCAGTCGGGGCGCATATGGGTGACAACCAATGAATGTCTCTCTCTCTCTCCCCTGTTCCTTCTCTCCGTCTCTGTAGCTCAAAAATCAATAAACATATTAAAAATAAATATATAAATAATAAAACAAAGATTTTGGTTACTTAAAAAAAATCAATTAAAAAAATCAGAGTAAAAAGGGTGAGTTTGTTCCAAGAGAGTCCGTCTGTATCAATATGTCTTTAAAATGTCCATTAACAGAAACCAAACTGCTGCAGCAGTGATTCCCAGAGAGGCATCGTGCAGCAGAAGGGGAGAGAGGAGACCTTCTACCTTCCGCCTTACACGCTTCTGCGTTGTCTCAGGTTCTCTTTTTGCAAGGAGCACAAAGAAAAGCGTGCTCACCAGAAAGATAGCATTGGATTTAAACTGCAACGGTTACAAGACTGCTATTTATTCTGCCAGTGAAAGCTGGGGTAGTTTGTAAACACGAAGCTTTCGGAGGCTGGCTATCTTTAACTTGTACCACTATTTCCCAGGATACTACTGAGTGTTTGAAAGTTCATGTTTTTATACCTGCTCTCAGAAGCGGCCGTCCACAAGTGAGATGGAAGCGACAGAAAATGCGTTTCTAACCGGTTTCTTTCGTCCTTTGCAGATCTCATTGGACTGCCGTGGGTGTGCTTCACCTACGCGATCATGAGCATCGCGGCCCTGGTGTTTGTCATCGTGTTCATACCCGAGACAAAGGGCTGCTCTTTGGAACAAATATCCGTGGAGCTGGCAAAGGCGTAAGTATGATGCACGTGGCTCTCCGCTCGGCGCTCTTTGGTCAGGCGCGCAGCTTTTATACACAGCTAAATCAAGATGAGACTTGACCTTATTTTAGGATATTCCTTTTGGTGTGGAACCAACCATATCTCAACCATAATTCCAGTTTCTCTGTCATGGATTCAGTTTGGGTGACACAGCCAAGGAATTAGAATATTCGGTGCTTTTCACAAGTGAGCCTTTCAAAGCTCTGCTGGGCTATGATCAAAGAATCCCTCCCATTTCTCTCCCTTCCCAGAAACCAGGGGATTTTTGTTTAGGGTTCGGAGTAGGTCCTGGAACGTTAGGCTCACCCTGTTCTCGAACCACGGCTTCAGTTCTTCATCTCTATCACACTTGCCAGTCTCTTTAAGGCCTCAAAGCTTGTTAGTGCTGGGGTTACTGGGAAAACTCGGGCTTAAACGTCTACAATTATTCCAAATATGGCCCAGAGACGTTTAAGAAAGATTAAGAGTTTCTGAGGTGAATAGGCATTTAGAAAGCCCGTTAAATAACTTTCACATGGGAACATTGCTTTAAGCTTTTAACTTAGAAGAAGTAGGCCGTAAAAAACTCCTGTGCTTTCGGCTGCAGAGCTCCCAGCTCTGAGGGCTGAGACCGGCCTGCCAGTGAGTGTTGTGTGGGGGCAGGGAAGGGAGTGGGCCTGTGACTCTGCCTAGGATTCAGTCCTTACACTTGCAAATGAAGACATACTTGTTCTTGAGTTTTATGAACTGGGGGAAACTACATATTTATAGTTGGTGACTTTCTTCTGAAGATACTTTCAATACACCGGAAAGGCATGATTGCTACAGAAATTGTGGGCAAGTGCTTCTTCAGCTTTTATCTGAAGGAAGAATAACCCTGAAATGGTGGTAGGCATATATATTTATGTAAGCCAAACTGTTAATCCTGGTTTATCGGGGTGCACAGGAAGCAAGATGGTGGAAATCATTTTACTTTTACATGGTTCACATTTTGGAACCATGTTATTTTAGTAAGCAGAAAAACTTCTTTCTTCATTCAAGCCGTAAGTTAAATGTCAAGTTGTAGGGCTAATTTCTGATAAAGAGAAGGCCCCGTTTCCAAAAAGTAAAATGAAACATTCATTTACGAAGAGAAATACAATGGTCAGGAAGGCAGTGGCCAGCCACAGGCTGTGATTGAATCTCTAGTCTGTGCAGCGGGGGGAGGAAGCGGTCAGTGTCCGGAGAAGTGAGACCCAGGGGCCGGGCCGGGCACTCCCTTCTCCACCGCGCCAGCTGTTATTTATTCAGCCCTTCGTTGGCCATCTCCAGGGGCCAGATGCGGTCCTAGGAAAGAGCTGAAGATACAGCAGAGGAAGAATCCATTGTTTCTTCACTTTATTTAAGAGGCAGACAAGAACACAGACCATTGTAATACACCGGGGTGGAAGGCACAGAGAGAAGTCTATTGGAGGATTTCACCTGTAAAAGCTTCCTGAGAAAGATAATGCCAGCGCAGTCTTGTCTCGAGAGCGTCATCTGGGCGAAGGGGAAGGTGTGGGAGGCCGAGGAGGGGTTGCACGGAGGGGCCCCCACACTCCCGGGCGTGCGAGGAAGAGGGCGGTGCGGAGCTGGGGGCGAGCCCGAGCGGCCGGCAGGACCTCGTTCGTCTTAGTACAGAATTTGGGTTTTATCCGGAAAGTAGAGACAGGACTAAAACAGCCGGGCAGGGGAGAAAAGGAAGCAGATTCCTGACAAGTGCTTTGGCCAAGTCTGGCCAATGGAAAGGGGAGATGCCGAAGGAGGGGGACGAAGAGGGTTTGGAGGGGTCGGGCAGGAGGCTGTGGGGCTGCCCGGGGCGCAGGGACGGAGCCGACACAGCTCGGAGCTGACCCCGGAAAGGCGGCCGAGGGAGCGGGGACTGCGGTCTCTCCAGCTTAGGGAACTAAGCCAGCATTCAATGCGACATTGCACGGAAATGAGACCCAGGGCAGGAGAAGGGGCAGGTTTGGGAGGCGAGAGTCTGTGGCTGCTTGGGGACAGCACTGAGTTCAGTTTGTACTGACCGCCTGTGAGGCACACAGAACACAGGAGTGGAGGGGAAAGAAGGCACGTGTTCGCAGGGGGCAGGAGTCAGAAATGCCTTCCGCGGAGGAAGAGGTTTGGTGCTCAGCGCACGGGTACACAGGCAGGAGCAGACCTGCATTTCGTGGCGTCTAAGCTTTTGAGGGTCCAGTTGAAGCAGAATAATTACAAATTTGGAATGCAAAATCACACATGACTCCGTGGGGCTTGGAAGGGGCTGTGCAGGCGAGAGAGAGCAAAGGTCCTTTAAAAATAAAGGCTTGTTAAGCCCTGGCTGGTGGAGCTCAGTGCATTAAGTGCGGGCCTGCGAATCAGAGGACCGTGGTTCGATTCCCAGTCAGGGCACATGCCTGGGTTCCAGGCCGGTTCCCCAGCAGGGGACACACAAGAGGCATTGTTAGGCATTATTTCTCCCCTTCTCTCCTCCCCTTCCCCTCTAAAGATAAATACTTATAAAAATAAATAAATAAAGGCTTGTTAAAACCCTTGTCAGCAAACCCTTGTCCGGGCAGGGAGAAAGTGTACCGGAAGGAAGCAACCCTGTCATCACTCACGGTCACACTCCTTCTCACGAGTTTAACTTGAAAACAATGTTCTGGATGAGTTACGAAACCTTCAGATCAATTTTTCACAGGTCATTTCACAGGAGGGCGGTCAGAATGTATCAAACGGCAAACCAAAGGAAAATTTGAAAGGCAGGCCTTGATGAAGCAAGGCCTGCCTTTCCATCTAGTGGATCTGCAGAATCAGACATTCCGGAGGAACATGTGATCTCAAAGGAAACAAAACTGTTCCGACACAATACGGGGCGGGAAGGAATGCGTCTCAATGAGCGAGACTCTGAAATAGGAAATGTGTTTGACGGCATCATATGCCTGTTATTTTCGAGTCACGCCATCACTCAATCTTAACTCCAGAGACCCTCTCCAAGGAAGTTATAAATCGCAAAGTGGAAGAGGTCTGAAAACCAAGGTGCTGTCCACACCTGGACAGACTGCACGAGTCCCGGGAGGCTGGTACTAAAGAACAAAACCAGATAAGGGCACTGGTGCCGAGAATTATAAAAGAAGAGGTGGCAAAGTAATCCCCCACTTGAAACTCGCTCATAGCCGGAGGAGCGGTGTCTGCTGGGTGTATACACGCGGCGAAGCCCGTTCCTGATGGCAGGCCGGAAACAAAGTTGCTTTCAAAAAAAATCTTGGCGAACTGCTGTTTATGCAACATGAACTAGAGAGGCTGGGGCCTGTCTTGGCTTGAAGCAGCCAGTTGGCAATGACTTTAAAAATGAAAATGTAAGCAGCCTGAATTGTGTAGATTGATCAAAGTATGTATGAAATATGCATGTTAAACAAGCTCCCCTGGAGGGAAATGTCAGAGACAGAAATAAAAATAAAATGCATAACGCGCTGCAGTTCCTGAACCACGGGAGTGTATGTGGGGTGGCAGGAAGCCCAGGGAACTTGCGAGGACGCGGAAGCTGGAGTGAACTTGAAGAGTGTGTGGGGAAGGACACTGCTGAGTGAAGGGAGTCTGCGAATTTGGGAGTTAAGGAAACAATGAATCCGTTTTCGTCACCAGGGAAATGGGTAATCATGGTGTGTATATCCCAACGATTTGCTAAGGAGAGAGGAAATTATATCAACTTCAAACTTGATACTACCTATTGCTTAACATGTTCCTTTCTGGCATTGGAGTTGGGTCCTTGCGCTGCTATTCCTACCAGCCTGAGAAAACAAATATTCTTCCAAGATTGTTAAGTTTCTTATAAAATAAACAGTTACTCAGCTGAGAGGTTAGGAAGGATTTCAGCAATAATGTAATTTGAAAGGGTTTTAATTTAACCTCTGCCATGCAAGTTACAAACGCAAAATGGGTTGCTGGCCACATGTGCTATTTTCTCCAATTTAGGTGGAAACAGAGAGAAACCAGCAAGTTCTTGTTTTGTAAATATTTTAGTTCTGAGGCCTATTTCTCACTTCTAATTGTTAATTTTATGTGGCCATTCCTTCCTTTCTCCCTCTAAATTCATTTATTCAGTAAATATTTACTGAGTATCGATTATGTGCTGAGTATCTTCTACATGGTACAATTAATGGGCAAAAATGCAGATAAAAATAGCAATCGGGGGCTACTTTCGATTGAGTGAACTGAGAAATTGCTCTGCTGAGAAGTTACCTCTGAGAGGTAATATTTAAGATAAAATCTGGATGATAATCAAGAACCAACTCTGCAAAGACAGGGGAAAGGAGAATTCAGGGAGAGAAGACAGTTAATGCAAAGGCTGAACCGGAAACACTTGACCTGTTCTAGGAACAAAAAGAAATTCGGAGGCTGCAATCTTTGAGATGTGGTTAGAAAGTTGGTAGACTGCTGTGTAGGGGTTTATGAGGCTGAGTGAGTTTGGATTCATTCTAAGTGTGATGGGAAGTTACTGAAATATTTTAAGCATAGGAGTGACGTGATCCAATTTACATTTTAAGGATTACCATATGTGCCTCTGAAATCAGCAGAGGAACCTGGCTGAGAAAGCACAGCAGGACAGGGCTGAGTCCCACTTCACTTTGAGACCACTGACTTCAGGTGGCCCTCGGTGCTGCCTGGCCATTACACAGGTCCTAGTCCACTAACTGCCTCTCTCCTGGACGACTGCTCAATAGCGCCTCTCTCTGGAAACCTCTCCACCACCACAGCCCTCCTCACCCCCTCGAGGGCCTTGCTCCCCGCAATGGACAGTCACAGGGACCCCCACAACCTCAGACATCAACCCCCACATTGGTGTCTGTATCCAAGTACACCACCATTTCACCCTGTCCTTTTAGCTCCATCGTTCTTATGTGAAGCCAAACACTTCGCTCCCTTTCTCTTCTCTAGGACATTCTCTGACGATTCTCCTTGCTCATCCCTATTTACCTCGCCACAAGATCTCTGCTCACTAGCGTAGCCCATGTTAGAGAAACAAGTCTTTTGATCCCGTTTTCATGTACTTGCCATGCTCCAGCTATATTGGTTATTCCAAAAGTACAATAATTTACTGGCAGTTCTTCACTTGGTTCCCTCCCCAACTTCATTCCAGTTTCAGATCAGATGTTACCACTTTAGAGATGCCAGCAGAATGACCGACACCCCCTCCCGTGTCCTTCCCCTCTCCCCCTCCCCTTTCTGACTAGCATTTGCACCACCTGAAATCCCATGCTTGTGTGCTACCCCCTCTATCCAAATGTAAGCTCTTTGAAATTGGAGTCTCTCTCTTCTCTACCCAAAGCACCTACCCTAGCACCAGGCACACTGCAGTCCATTAATTGGTTAAATTCCTGAAAAAGATATTTGAAAGGGGAGCAAGGTTCAAAGGTGAACTTCTCTTTTTTAATACATGTAAAATACTAGAGCCTACTTTCCTGCCCGAGGGGAACAGTCCTACAGAAAAGAGTTTTGCTGATGCAGGAGTGAGGAAACAATGCAAAGAGCAGATTATGCAGATGGAAAGTTTAGAGGCATGCTGGTGGAGTTTGAGAAATGGGAGAAGATGAGAGGGCCCGGGATGCTGCCTCCGTAAGCGCTAGGCAACATTATCCCCGGAATTCTCCTCTTTGTAGGGGACACCCTGTTCTGAGAAGACCCCCACGCCTCACCCTCTGCCTGAGGTTGACCGATGTTCTACTGTATACTGAATTTTATGATACATCAAGAGGCTGCAATTTAAAAAACTGTCTTTTTTTTTTTTTTTTTTTTGCATAGCTAAAACATTAAAGCCCAGGAAGATTTAAAAAAAAATAATAGCCTGCGCATTTTTTTAAAGTACTGTAAACCAAGAATGACATTTTCATTAGTGCCTCTTTCTCTTTCAGGAACTATGTGAAAAACAACATTTGCTTTATGAGTCATCACCAGGAGGACTTAGCATCAGAACAACTCCAAAAAAGAAAAACCTCAAGAGCAGCTCTTGGAGTCCAAGGGACGACCAGAACCTTATAAATGCTGATGCTGTGTTAAGGACATCCAGTATGATGTCTTCATACCAACACACGCTGGCCACTCCCAGGTTTTTTGCCTTTAGTGTCATGGAGCTAGTTTTAAAGGGACAGTATGAAATTATGAAGACAATATTTCATCTTCACCCACAATAGGTAAATCAGGGGTAAGGCCCCAAGCATCTATTACTTTGGAGGGGATACCAGGCCAAACAAAACAAAACACTATTTCAACACTCTCCACCTTTTCACAGAGCAGCTTTGAAAGGCTGAACCACAGGCTGGTTACAGCTTTATTATTCAGATGCTAAGTAGTCTAAACACAAGCCTAATGTTTGGTTCCCCACCAACTCCCCTCCCCCCACCAAAACACTATTTGTACTGGGTCTTGTGTAAAAAAGAACCAGGACATAATGTGGACAACTGCATATATATTCTAGATTCAGATAGGTTCTTGGCTGATTTTAGTGATAATTCCTAAGCAGTTTAACAGGTACAAGGATTATGCGCCTTTTTATGAATTATGAACTATAATGCAATACAAAATCTTTTATGTCATTATAAGTATTATGAAATAATGTGACAAGCAATTCTGCAATAGCTGAGAAAGATAAGCATCTTCCCATCCGCTTAAAAAATATGAATAGAAAGGACAACTCGAAATTCTTGGGACCATATTTATTTAGAAGTAGCTGTGTGTACATTAGGAGTCAGGCCATCAGGTTATTTATTGCAAATCTCTAAACAATTAGATTTGACGTTTTAGCCAAACGTATACAGTTCTCTCTGTAAGGCATTCAGTCTCCTGCCGTCCTCCATGGGTTCCTCAGGACCATCGCTACCTCGGGCCATGGCGTCCAGGCAGGCCACGACCGGCGCTGACTTGCAGGGGACTGCAGACACTACAAATGACATTCAGACAGCAGGACGATCCCCTCACTACCTTCTCTCTGATGAAACCGAGATCACCAGCTATACCAGAAAGTTCAGCTTCACCCACACAACCCTGGGTGGCTCTCTTGTGAATTGCTGCAGTCAAATTTCCGAAGCTGGTGGAGCATTTTACTAATCAAATTTAGATACAATAGAAAATCTGTAATAAAGACTCTTAAACCACTTCAGTAGCAATTCAGTAAATTATTAATATATATTATAAACTATGGAAGACACTCAAAAAACTTAAAAGAATGAACCTAACTTAAATGTGAATACACAAATATGATTAACGTTTAAAGAGAGTCCTGAGTCACAAACAAAAGCCCTATTTATCTTGGAATTTTCCTACTGGCATGTAACAAATTGTCCCAAGTTAGATACTACGGTATGTGATCTACTGTATTTCCTTGTAACAAAGAGGAAGACTGATGTAAGAAATAGTAAAACTGTATTCTCAGAGATTCAGAATGACTGAGAGTCCTGGTTCTGAAATGTACTATGTTGATTAAAACTGGCAGAGGGAGTTATGAGAAGATTTGAGATCTCAGTTCTGTGATGGGGCCCTTCATATGTGAGTCAGAGCCTGCATCCCCCCCCCCCCTTTTGTTTGTTTTGGTAGAAGGGAAAGTGTATTCTATATTAGTTCACTTTAAGAAATTCACTAAGAATCCTCAGTGAAATTATATTGAGATTTAAAAAAAATCAAGATAGGTAATCAATGTACCACACACATCTTTAGGACTATAAGACGCACCTTCATTTTAGAGGAAAATAGCAAAAAATGTGGTTAAATATTTAGGAACATAATATTTCACCCAAGTAAATGTAAACTACATTTACTAGCCAGGTAAGCTACATTCAGACTACAAGACACACCCCCATTCCCCTACCGAATTTCGGGGGGAAGTGCATCTTATAGTCTGAAAAATACGGTAACTTTTTCCCCTTTGCCAACCATCACAGAAAGTAAGATATTAAAATTACTGTGTATTTTCTTTGAAGTTCAAATGCTATACATATTTTAGGTATTTCTTAGCCTTTCACTGTTAATGGGCAGGGAAGTGTTTCAAACCTATTAGGTTTATTACTAGTGATTTTCACTTCGGAATCTTAAGACTTTTCTTTCACTATTCTGAGTCTGCATGATTCTACCTTCAAACTAATGTTTACCCAATACACTCCCAATCAGAGCTTTTTGGTTTTCAAAAATAAAAAGGGGAAATACTTCTAATTGGTAGGTCCATATGCACAGTTTTTATTTAGAATTTACAGCACTTGCAAAAAGCCCACAGAAGACACGAGTCACGCTCATTTCTCACCAGCGTTGCCAGGCCTTGTGGGTGACGCTGGACACCCCCGCCCAGTGACACCCCACGGCAGCCCTGAAACCAGACCCCAATGGCAGACGGCTGTCTTCTCCGAGGAGCTGCTCCCTTCTCTACCTAGTTTCCAAGTCACTCAAATACTGAAGATGTTATGACCTCTGGTTACGTAGCTGGGCCACAGAATCATGTTTTTTTCCCTTGTTCATATTGCTTTTTTGGGAACACACAAAAAAGAAGAGGTGTCTTATTATTGTTAATTAAAACTAAGTGGAAAATCTCAAATTTTTAAGTCTTTCCAGAACTTGTAACTTTGTCATCAAATTTTATTCTTTTATGAGGTTACCCATCCTACTGGATCTTTAAAAGAGCAAATAAACACAAATGTAAAACGAGATAACAGAAGTCTGAAAATCACAATTTTTTTCACAAGAAATATAAAAATTAGCCTTTGCCCTGCCCACCTCCCCACCCCAACCAAGCTTATGAGTGAGTGTAGTAGGGTAGGGGAGGGAATGGAGAAGATAAAAATAAAATGATATGTACTGTTCAGTGCAGTGCTTAAGCCAAGTTTTCAAGATGTTACAATATGGTAAGGAAAATATACTAGAATATGGAAGTTAAGATACTGCAGTTTGTCACAAAGGCTTCAAACATTTTGGAAATTCGGGTTTTAGTGGAAGATTGTGTTGGAATATTGTCTCTACTAAGAAGCTAAGTTAATTCTGGACTCAGTTTCATCTCTAAGGTGGAACCACTGCTGGCTGCACGTTTAGTACAGACGTGCAAACACACTCGGCAGAGCACACCACCAGCTTGGTTCCGAATCGCTGCCCGCGGGCTCCTGGGTGAGGCAGGCAGCCGGTTTCACAAATGCTGTTTGCTGTAACTTTCAGAGTAGCTATCCTACACAACCAACAGTCAGTCCTTCTTTAGCCCCATTAAATGAGACACAGCAAGGGGAAAGACATATCTTGCAAAATGGCTTTCAAGGTCAAGTTGAACCAGATTATAATGACACTGTGGCACAGAGGGGTCTTGTGACCATTTCTTGTTGCAACAGCACAACATACCAACTTCTGGCAAGACTTCGTGGAGCCTTAAGTACCAACCTAAGATCATTTCCCACAACTAGGCCGAGTCTTCCCAGAATGCCGAGGGCCATACATATGTGGTCCGCCCGTCACAGCTTCTTTCTCATATGCACCTTGTCAGTAAGAGGCTTCTGTTTTTAAAACTATAGTTTTGTAACTTTTCAAAGATATTTAACATTTTCTAGCATATTAAATTAGCAACATAAAATACTATGCTTACTCTGTGAAGTTCTACTCTGGTTCCCTAAAACTTATATTATACATGTTTTTATTTCTAACCTGCAAGAAAAAAATCCTATTTGATATTTGGTAACAGAGCATTAAAACGTCCTACGTACACGTGGCATATATATTTACAAAATACACTTCAAAAAGAAGCCAACACACTTTAGCAAAAGTCTGAGCTTGCATAGATTTAAAAAAAAGAATTAGGAATACAATTTTTATTAAAATAGAAAATGGGGAATAAAAGTTACAGAATGGATATGAAGAGAGACCTTTTCCAAACTTTTATTTGTGCACATTCAATTGAAAAAGATAACTTTTACAGGTTCTTTGGTGCCCATATTCAGCATACAAAAATGTAAAAGACTAGTCACAAATAAAACACATTAGCTCAAACTGGAAAAAAATAACAACAAAACAATTCAAGGCAGTGCACACCGTGACAGCTCTGCCTGTGGGGACATGAGAATTACTGCGAAAATAAATAGAATGTCCTTCTGTAAAAGCAGCAATGTCATGTCTTGTAAACTTCCTTTTTCTATTACAGCAAAGTTTGAAATAAAATCCAAAGGGACTGGAGCGTACACTGTAGCCGTGAAGGAATAAGAGTCTGTTTCCTCAGTTACCGTTGGTCCAGTTTTCCTTTTGAGTCCAATGTGCAGCAGGTTTTCAAAGGTGCTCAGTTAGGGATCTAACCAGTTACGTGAAGAATTATAAAATTTCTTTCCTGCTTTCAAACACAAATGGGTAAATCTGTTCCACAGCAGTAGCAACAGCCTTGACATTGGGCCCTGTAACAAACACAGCGGAAGAAGGGCTGGGTGAGAGGAGGCAAAGAGAACACTAGGAAAAAGTTCATTTCTCAGAACTAAAAGTATCCAGACAGTTTTGGGGTTATGGTTTAAAAAAATCTATACACATTATTAAATAGAGTCATAATAAATATCAAGAGAATAATTGCTTTCTAGACAATTTAAGGGGATCTGAAATAAAAACGTTATTCATCTTGTTTTAGGGCACCACTGTGAAAAATGCGTACATAAAAAACTGCAGACAAGGAGCGTGCACCTGAAGAATAAAAAGCACTATAATACACTTATTAAAGGAAGAAATGACAGATGGGCCTAGAGAAAACTAGCATCCTTTTGGTCTCTGCAGTCTGGTTAGGCTACAACTGAAGCTCGCAGGGGCACTGAGAAACTCAGCAGAGTACAACACAAAGCTGCTTGCAAAGTAGCAAGGCTGCTACAAACGACATGGTCTGAAAATGCCCACAGAGTTACTGCTAATCCGGCCCCCACCCTCACAGCTCACTCCACTGATAGAAAACGAAACAAGCTCACGGAAATGGGGTGATGCTACACAATTAATCTATTTAATGCTAGTAATAACTTTTCAAAAATGTAATCTTTCACTTAAATACCTTAAAAGAAACATAAAAGTAGACAATAAAAAGTATCTTCATAGAATTTATTTTGAATAAAAATGCCCTCATTAACCTCACATACCTCCTTACTAGAGGGACCCTAAAAACATATATACGCGCCCACTCTGTAATCTGCCGGTACTGACCATGTTTTAGGCTGGTCCATTCCTTCCTGATAATCAGTTTACCCTCTTCAAATAGTATAGTGCTTTGCCCATGGGAACCACTGAGTATGACTGAATTGTTACAACATTTCATAAAATATTCCAGATGTAAATCTATAATGTACACTAATTAAGCAGGCCAATTGTCTTTAGTTCATTATTGTGTTGTTTAGTTATCTATTAACTCAATAAAGAGAGACTTTACATATGCATCATTTTATTCTATACTCAGAGATTTATCAGTGCACTTCAGAGCCCCTCAAAGTCTGGGCTCCTTCTGAAGTGCACACAGAGGTGGGAGAAGGAAACACACAGATGGCTCCTCCCCACTCTGTCTTCAAGATTCAGGCACAGCCCTGGCTGTGAAGGTCTCTGAGGTAGTTGTGAAAACCCACAGGATGGGTCAAAACTAAAACTTCCTTGTTGAGCATTTAATAGTGTGAATAATTTTTATTCTCCGTTAAGGGCTGAGGGAATAAAAAGAAAAACTCCAGGCACAAAAGAAATGTCCATTAATTCAATTGTGGCAAGAGTTGGGCCTCATTCCCAAGTGATGTCTGTGTACAATTTATAACCGTAGCAGCTTTAAAAAGCATCCTGCAGTGGCTAATGCTACCTTTTGACATCGAGGCCTAGTAGGTCGTTTTGAAAAGACCCCTTCCAAATAACAAAGTACACATTAATATGTACAAATAGGTACCGATTGTATTTAAATATTTTTCTTATCTAAAACCTTTATCAAGTTCATAAAAATGGGTTTCTCCTATTTAAAATGAAATATCATAAACTAAAAAAAATTATGAAAATATATACTAGAATATATTTTTTAAAGATTTTATTTATTTACCTTTAGAGGGGAAGGGAAGGAGGGAGGGAGGGAAACATCAATGTACGGTTGCCTTTCGTGCGTCTCCTGCTGGGAACTGGCCTGCAACCCAGGCATGTACCCTGACTGGGTACTGAACCGCAATTGTCTGGTTCGCAGGCCCACACTCAATCCACTGAGCTACACCAGCCAGGGCAACATATACTAGAATATTCACAACAGTACAAACTGGCCAGTCTCCGAGTGCCTGCACACAGCGCACCACACACTGGGCACAGGACGGCCACGTGAAGAGCAATCTACAGACACTCGGAACAAGGAGGGCGGACCTCCCTGGGACGAAGATGAGGGAAAGATGGCAGACACAAAAGAGTATGTTATTCGATTTTAAAGTAGCACATAAAAGTGAGTAAAACTAATCTACAGTGCTAAAAATCAGAGGGCTGGTCCCCCCTGAAGGGCACAAGTTACTGAAA